GTTACAGTAAGAGGTAAAACAGCAGAAGGAATGTGGATTAAGCCAAGGCTCCAGGAACAGAGGACGCTTGGTTCAAGAGGAAGAGGCGGGCAATGGGGCGATGATGCTCCACAGGCAGGACAGGGAATGTGGTCCCTGGTGCTCCTTGGGTCCCAGAAGGCCCTTGTCAGCAGCACCAGCAAATGACAGTGTGGTCCTGGCTTTGCACAGCCTGGGTCATGGGAAGAGGAAGCATGGCGGGGGGTGGTTCCTGGGAGGGGCTGGCCAGGGTTCACATCAGGACGAAGCCTTGGGAGCCCAGTTCCCACACCCCAGGGGGACAGAGCAGCTGGGCTGCCAGGGCTAACAGTGCACACCCTCCCGGAATGCCAGGCTCCTGGGGAGGCTGCCCTGTTTCAGCCTCATGAAGCCTGGGTTTGGGGACAGGGTGGGACAGTGGTGAGACTGAAGCTCACAAGCAGCAGTGCCGGAATAATGAACACTGATGGTGGGAAGGATGCAGATGCTGTTGCTAGCCTACTACATGTCCGGAAGTTAGCTTCCCATCTGCCTGAACTCAGCAAGGTCCACATGATTAAAAGGTAGGACCAGCTGAACAATTTCATAAAGGTCAAAGGCTACAGGAAAGGATCTGTGCCACCTTGTACATGACATTTTGGCCCCGAATCTCACCTCTAAGGCACACTGCTGCCAACCAGGCAAGGGACTTGCCTGAGCCTGGCACTAACCCATAGCACCTCAGAGTGGTCAACAACCCCAGCCACATTTTTAGCTGAGCCCCTTCTGCGCTTTTCTCAGCTATGTTGAGTGCTGCTAAACACTCCCGTGAATGCAGTCACACAGGATTTGGGTGACCTTAGGGTTTATCATCCAAAAGGGTACACTTGTGAGAGGGAAAAGAGACTGTATCCCTAACAGGGCTGGGACAAGTGGCAGAAACCGGGACTGAGCCAGGCACACAGAGCCCTACGAGGCCGGGTCCTCTTACATCCAGTTGTGCTGCAACCCCACTGAATGTTTTCTACTTCCCCACCACACCAGGACTCCTTGGTACCACTCCTCCTCCTCCTCTGAATTCCCGCAGCTTCTAGACCTCACAGGCTGTGCCTTGACTGTAAGGCAGCCATGTTGAGATTGGAGAAGCATGGTGGGGGTACTGTCAGCAAGAAATCTAGAAAGACTTGTAGATCCTTGTGGCCAGGAGCGCAGACACTGGACCCCCACTCTTCTGTTGGTCAGTTAGTCCCCCAAAGCAACAGCTCTGCGGCTGTCCTACTGGGTGGGGCCTGCAGCCACCGAATGAGCCTCCAGGGCAGGGCAAGGCAGAGGGCAGCAGCTGCTACTGCTTCCTGGATGCACTGGAGAGTGTGCGGCCGTCCACCGCAGGGGCACAAGTGCCCGTGTCCTCAGCCAGTGGGCACAAGCCCCGCCTGGAGGGGTGCACCTGCAGGCTCTGTGGCCTTGCTAGTCCTGGGTGGAAGGAGGCAGCTCTTAAAGCCTGCTTTGTTTTTACTTCTTCCATAAGTATCCACCTTCTTAAGAATCACAGGCCAAGAGAAGAAAGAATCTGTTGTTCTTTTTAAACCGGGAAATCAGTCTCCAGTCCAACTTGCACGTCAATGCAGGTAAAGTAAAATACTAACAAGAAAGCGATGGGCACCCATCCATGCTCGGAAGGCACTGTCTTTGGCACTTAGCTGTCAGGTACCACAAGGCCCGATGGCCAGGAGTTCTCGAAGCACAAGAAAAGCTGAGAGTTGTGAGCAGGCCCCACTCCACACTGGGCTCTTGGTGACACCAGCTGGCAGGGTCCTAGGGCCACCTGAGACCACACAGTGAGCTTTTGATGTCTTTTGCAGAGAAGCTTTTGCAAATGACAGCTCTGGGTTAACAAGTAAACGTTTCTCTAGATCAGGCACATGCTCTGAGTCCAGGAGTTAGGCACAGAATCTCAGGGCTGCCACACACCCACTACAGCTATTGCTGTTATTACTATCATGACTTTATATGTCTGCGATGCCCAGTAACTAGTCATCTTGGGGAACTGGGGCATGCACACATCCCGTCTTCACCATTTTCGCTTCCTCTCCCCTCTGGAGCTCCCCTTCTCCCACTTCCAGATCCTCTGCCCATCTCCACAGTCTACCTCCCTGCTTCCTATTGCTTCCCTTTTATTTTGCTCTTTAAATTATTTGTATTTTGCATTTCTCATATAAGAGAAATCATGCACTATTTAACCTTCTGTGTCTGATTCATTTCACTCAACATCATGATCTCAATGCATGCATTTTCCTACAAGTGATTCAAGTTTATCCTTCTTTAGGGCACAGTAGTACTCCATTGTGTGCAAGTACCACGTTTTCTTTACCCATTCATCTGTTGGTATGGATCTAGGCTGCTTCCAACGTTTAGCTATTATGAGTTGTGCTGCTATAAACATGGGTGTGCATCACTGATGTTATTGAGATGATACTTGAGAATGAGAAAAGGGAAAGGACTTATGGAGTGCCACCAAGAAAATGACTGGGAAATCAGGGACTAGAAGTTTTCCCAGCCGTTCGTGCTAGGAGCTCATGGTGGGAGCCAGCACGGGTGTGTCCTGGAGACCTGTGAGTGGCCCTGGCTCAGGTCACCCTGATGGGGATCCTGGTGATTCGGATGTGGCTGAAGAATGCTGACGCTCTGCCCTGAGCACTGCTGATGCGCCACGCGTGGAGCCGAGTACCTCACGGGTGTCGCTCTCTGCCCTGAGATCAGCCGTCCTGGCAACAGCAGTGCCCGGTCTGCCCACATCTTATAGACAGGGAGCCAGGGGCAGCCCAGAGATGGACACTGATGGCCCTGGTTAGTGATGTAGCCAGGTGCTTCCCGGGAGGGTGAGGAGCCTGGGTCCACCCTGACCTCAGCCTTCATCAGTCCCCACACTCTGCCCTTCAGAAGGAGCTTCAGCTAAACGCAGGACACATGGAGACACACACCATCCATTCTCTCTGGGCTTTCTCTTCCAAGGTACCATAACTATCTGTGTTCCTGTTCTATGCTTACCACTGGACAAAAATTCCATAGCAAGAGGAGTCACACCTTACTCGTCTTACAGACGATGCTAACTAGGCTGCCCAGATGAGAAGTGCTGAATGTTTAATTTGTAAAATCTGGCTGCTCTGAGGGCAGTGATCAGCTCAGGGTGGCTGGGGAGGACAGGGGTGGTGAAGGCACAGTGAGTAGAGAAAGGCTGGTGTCAGTCTGTGCAGGACCTCGGGCAGTGGGCAGGAAGCTGGGGGTTGAATGCTTTTGCAAACACAGTGGGAGGACAGGGGTATGGAAAGGGCCTGTGCTCGTGGACTTCACTTCAGCCAGGGAAATGGAAGCGGTGGCCTTGTCTGCACATTGCTAATAAGGGTCCTTGTGGTAAAGTATGACCACAAAATATATGACTATTTCAATTTTTAAAAAATGTACTACAGTAGAAGACACATTGCTTCAAACACACTTATCCCTTCATCCTTGCCACTTTCTGCAGCAGCTCTAGAATCCTCTTTCCTGAGGGTCTTTACAAGGTGTGATGAAAAATACAATGGATGCCGTTGCAGAGCGCCATCCAGCAGAAAGAAGGCTTGTGAAAACATGACGCTGTGTCCTCATCCACCTTAGTCTCCAGATCTTGCACCATGCACCTTCCAGCTCTTCCTTAAAGTCACAATGACCATGAAATGGAAACACTTTGAATCCATTCAGGACATCGAGGCAGCCAGGACAGCTCAGCTAAGAAGTCCTCAGGAAAGAGGACTCCAGAGCTGCTGCAGAAAGTGACAAGGACAATGGGATGAGTGTGTGAAGAGAGGCAGAGAATTCTGGGGGCATTCATGGTGATGTGTCTTTTGGAATAATAAAAGTTTTTAATTTAAACATTCACCGTATGTTGTGATCCTTCTTGGTACCATGACAAGAGCAGTGCTCGCGTCGATTTGAACTTCAGCAGCTAGGCCTACTCTACATTAGCAAGGCAGAGCTCCCTTGGGCTGCCAGATGTGATGTCACAGATGCTGGAGGCGGTGATGCTCGGAGTGCCCAGGACTCCCAAGAGCCCACGCGATAGAGGTATTTGTGGCCTGGGTTTCCAACAGCTCTGTGTGGTCAGCGTGCGCCACAGACACCTGCAGCTCTCATGCTCGCCAAAGCCACGTGGACGTCATGGCAAACACCACCTAAATGGCGCTGCTACCTGGGCCCGGGACTGTTGGGGCCCCCCTAGGCACCATCTATACCACACCCCACTTATACTTGGGGTTTCTCATAGATGAGCAACCTTGCACTGTTTAACCTTCTGTGTCTGATTTATTTCACTCAGCTCTAAGAGCTAGATATAAAAACAGAAACTGAGTCTGCTGGAAGGTATAACAGGTAAAACCCTTCCCACAGCCATAGGCAAGGACTTACTGAACAGAACCCCAGCTGTACAAGAAATAACACCAAGAATCAACACGAGGGACTCTCCCAAATTAAAGTTTCTGCACACCCAAGGAAACTACCAACAGAGTGAAGAGATGACCTACACAGTGGGAAAACATTTTGCCAGCTCCTCCTCAGAGCAAGGCATCTTCTTATGAAGGTGACCTCTGCTAAAAACACCATGAGATGGAGCCCTCCTAAGGCTACCCAGCCCAAACCCCACAGGAGAAAGTCCACAAAGCTGGTTTCCAGTTCTCTCCTGCCCGGCTCCTGCCTCTCAGCCAGCAGAGCTGCTTTGCACTTCCTTTTCAGTTTGTATTGCTTTTTTGAGACAGGGTCTCTCTATGTGGTTCAGGCTGGCCCTGATGATCCTCCTGCCTTAGCCTCCCCAGTGCTGGGATGACAGGCGTGGGCCACCATGCCCACTGTTTTGCACTCCTGAGTCTGCAATGCCTCCTGTGAGCTTCAGCCACCCACAAATTAGGCATAGGAGAAACAGAGCCTGCCTGTCACTCTAGGTGAGAGGGGCAGAGTCAGACACAGCAGCTTACCTGTGACAGCTGGGCGCTGGCTTATCTCTAATGCTGAGAGAAGTCTCGCAGGCTTCCTAGACAAATGCACTTGGCTGCGCTCCTCCTCGGCTCCCTGCTGCAAGGCAAGTCAGAGTCACATGATTAGCACTCAGGCTCCTCGGAAGACACAAGGACGCCTGACCGCCGGAGGCACAGGGCTGTGGCAGAGCCCCAGACACCCACTGGGATAAAGGAAGTGGACTGGTGGTCAGAAGAAGGGATACGTATGGGTCAGAACCCTGAGGCTGATGTCAGGAATATGCACTCTGTGAGAGCATGGCCTTCCAGCAAAACCCACGTTTCTGAGCAGGCTCTGCAGTGCCTCTGCCAACGAGTCTGTACTGAGACCCAGCTTCCATAGGAACCCTCACCCTGCACCCAAAGGTGGCTCACTGTGGCTTCTCGTACTGTCACCCTGTGCTGCAACTTCGACCTCCACTCTCCCTACCATCCTGCCAGGCTAGCGATGGTCACGTCCTCCATGAAGCCTCCTCCGATACCTCTGGACATGGAGGTACACGTTAATCTCTCCCTTCTGAATTCACACAGCACTTGGTGCCCACGCCACGTGGCATCTGGGGCCAGGAGGTGGCCTTGGACTATCACAGCAACCTCTGGACTTACTTCCTCCTGCCTGGCCTGTGGACTTTCCCACGCTTGGTATCTTCTCCCTGGGTAGAGCTCTTCAGGACCGCCCACTGCCCTCGGGAGAAAATCCACATTCTCCCGGCCTTCCCAGCTGCCCCAGGGCTCCTCGTGTTGCAGTCATGCCAAGCTGCTCTCCAAGGTTGCATAATGAAGCCACCCGAGGCGGTGACTCTTCTGCATAAACAGCTCCTGGGGCTTGCCCAGTCCCAGGCCCTCCCAGGAGGTGACCAGGAGCCTGAGCCACCACCATGGTGACAAAACTGAGAACAACCAAGTGCTGGGGTCATGACTCACTTCATCACCCAAGCAGCCAGCCCAGCCAGCCACAGTGGCGAAGCAGGCAACTGAGGCTCAGGTATAAGATAGCTCCTTCGCTCTTTTTCTCCACCCTGGAGGTGGGTGGTTAGCTCTTTCCAGAGATGCAGGAAGAAGCAAGGCCCACAGAGGTCACAGTTCCTACCTGGACTTGCACTCCACCTCTGACCCTTTTCCCAGGTCCCACGTCGTGGGTCTAACAGCCAACTGGCTGTCCCACGTGGCTCATACTTGCTGCATCAGGTACCGAGCAATAGCGCCCCGTCCCCACCCCGGAGCTCCGTCTGCCTGCGAGATCCTACACTACACTGATGTCTTAAGGGTTCTGCTCCAAGACCAGACCTGTCCCACCACTTCTGCAACTCCTCAGGTGGAAAGAGATTGTCACTTAACAGACACGACAGACAATGCCACGTTCACTTCTCTGTATGCAGCCTTAAGAGGGGATCAAAACCCTCGCCAGGCTGATGTCTGTCCAGCATCACATCTTGGCAGAAAGTGTTTTGCTTTGGGTTTGGGTGGAGCCCAAGGTCTGGAAGACACAAGCTAACGGTGTCAGCAACAGCAACGGGAACACAGCTCACCAGAACCACACGCCTGAATCTCTTGAGGTCCCTTGAGGGGGCTGACACCAGTCATGACCACAGAAAGGGGTGCACGTCCTGTCCTGTTTTTGTTCATACCAGAAAATCCATTATTAAACATTTGCCAGCACACCACGGAATGGTCTGAGAGAGCACAGGCCTATAGTGTGGCTGCAGTGCTGTCCCCACCTTGGTATTCGAATTGGCTAAGTTACCTTGTGACCCTGGGTCTCCCTCTGGACAGGAAAAAAAGGCAGACAGAAGGGAGACAGAGGGCATTTTGGTAAATGCCAAGCTGATGAGACATGGGTCGGTGTCTGCAGACATCCTGGGTCATCACGGGAGAAAGCCAGCCCAGATGCTGCTAAGTATCCTACAGTGTATAGAGTCCCACACACATGTCACTTTGCCCAAAACGGCAGTAGTGCCAAGGCTGAGATACCCTGGTATAAAGATATTCAAGCACAGGGGCTCAGTTAAGTTGCTTGAACACATTTTCATCCAGGCGAGAAAACAGAAGGGACTGGGAGCCAGGCGCAGTGGTGCACAGCTGTGACTCCAGCACAAAGGAGGCTGAAGCAGGAGGCTTGCTACAAGTTTGAGGCCAGCTCGGGCTACACAGTGAGTTCAAGGCTACCTTGCATCGCATAGCAAGACTCTGTCTCCAAAAGCACCCCCTAAAAGGAACTGGCATCTGTTGGCAGGACTCTGGGGGCCCCTTGGGGCAGGACATTGTGACACAGGCTACAATGGGTGGGAGTGTTTGAGCTCTCGCCCTAGCGTGGCACTGGGCACACTGTGGTGCTCAGCAGTGGATGGGGGAGAACGGAGCAGGCGGGCACCACGCCAACACTCCAGCGTGTTCCCACCCTGTCTGCCACACCAGGCAGAGGAATCTGCCAAGTGCAACTTCGCCTCCTCTGGAAGGCGGCGGGAAGGAAAGGTGTGAAATTCCAGCCCTGCAGACTCAGGTTAAACAAATAATCACCAGCCTGAGGACTCCGGGCAATGGTGAGAAGAGCGATTTTATTTGATTTTATGTAGGTCATCGCTTTCTAGCCGAAAAACCTTGAAAGGCAAGGTTTCCCCACGCCCCCTTCTCTCTCGGGGATGCATTTGTTAAAGACACACAGCCAGCAGCCTTGCTTCTGACACATTCAAAAGCACCTTTTAATGGCAATCCTTTTATTCCTGTACCAATGGGAACTGAACACATACTTAGTACAAACCACCCAAAGTGGAAAGAAGGTTAGACAAGAAAGTCCAGCAAGCTCAGGGAGCTGGCAGAATTGAAGGAGGCCGCAGGAGAAGAGGGTGACCGGGGCACTCGCCGTGCTGAGCCTCCTCCAAGGCAAACCCCTTTCCCAAAGTCCCCGCGAAGACCTAAGCCCCACTGGGAGAGATGGCCAAACCGGGATCGCCCTTTGTGTCTCCCTGAAGATCTGAAGATCTGACACCGCCACAAACCCTCTGACTCACAAAGCCCTTCAATTAAAAGCTCAAGGGCTCCGAGCTAATTCTAGATGTGGCAGAACTCAGTAGCTTCGCTGGCACTAGAACTGCAGCAGAGTAATGAGGATAATTTTCCCCTTCCTCTCTGGGCTATGAATGGCAATGTGCTCAACTATAAATTAGTCGCCCTGAATGCCAGGGCGGGAAGCCACTTGAGCAAGTGCCTGTCCCCTTTGCTTTGTGATAAGGGCCCATGGCCCAGGGCAGTTGGGCCACCCCCGCTGGGCGAGCTTCCCAACTTTCAGCTGGAAGAAGGATTTTCGGTGCCTAACACTGAGTCTCATACCTTGTTGCAGAAAATGTTTTTATGTTCCCTCCAGTGCGTAACATGGAACTCAGAAAAAGCTGGTTATGATCTACCTCGGATCCAAGGGTACAGAAAGGAAGCAGGACAGCTTCAGAGAAGAAAATTCCAAAAGCAACCATTTATTAAAATCCAGCTCAGCTGGGCGTGGTGGTGCACATCTATGATCCCAGCATTCAGGAGGCTGAGGCGGGAGGATTGTCATGAATTCGAGGTCAGCCCAGGCTACATAGTGAGTTCAAACCCAGCCTGACCTACATACGTGAGACTTTGTCTCAAAAAGCAAAAAGCAAAACAAAACGAAGACAACAATAACAGCCCTGCTCTATCATGGCTGAGCATGGCACCTTCCAGCCTTTATCCCTCACAGTCCATCCCGAGAAAGCAGGACTGGGCAAATAGCAGATGCATTTCTTTGATTCTAATGCTCATGCCTTAAACAAACTTCTTCCATTCTTCTTTAAAATTTCAAGATGAAAAGCAACAATATGGTGATGCCTCAGGACTATCTGCAACCCCTCACCCCTACACTGAGGCCTGAAATCCCCAACATGATGGCATTTGCAGATGAGCCTTCTGGAGGAATTAGGGCATGAGGACGGAGCTTCCTGAGTGAGATCAGTGGCCTCCCATGACGGTGGGGAGAGGTGAGCTCCTCCTGTGCCCCATGGCATACGAGGCCTCCAGGAAGCGGCCCTCAGCAGACACTGGACCTGCCAGTGCTGGAGCCTGGACTCCTCAGCCCCCGCTGTTCAAGTCACTGGTCTGTCCCCTGTGACAGCATCCTAAGCCAACTAGAACACGGGAAACAGCAAAGCCATCTTGCCATGCTACTGATGTAAACTTGAATTTGTCCACACTAATGATAGCCAATATTCATGCATAACCTTTATGCACAAAGCACTTTATGGAATAATCTTTCCTTATCCAAATAGCTTCAATAGCATCTACCTCTCTGCTTTCCCTGAGCACACACTGAGGCCCAGAGTATTGTGGTGAATTTTCTGAGGTCACACAGCCAGTCAGTGGGGGACAGTGCTGGGGGACATTCAGATGGAGGGAGCAGGGAGCAGTGAGCAGTGAGCAGGAAGAAGAGTCTCCAAGGCCCACACTGCCAGCTCTCCCTGGCTTCCTAGATCTCCTCCACCTCCAGACGTGAAGACGCGGAGGCCCAAGTGTGGTGCTCAGGCGTGTGTGCTAACAGAATACGCTACCGGAAGACAGCACCCCAGACAGTCTGGTGGCTGCTCCAGGGGGAAGTGGAAGCTGAGGTGGAAGCAGCAGGTAGGAGCCCAGCATCCAGAGAGGCAGTGACAGGGCCTGCAGAGAAGGTGCAAGTGAGGAGGAGGAGGAGGAGGAAAAGCAGAAGCTCAGACAGAGGCGCAGGGCAGTAAGGACTGACGAGGGTGACAAAGCCTCCATTCTAGGAGCTGTGTGTATCTGAGTGTGACAGGAGTGTGAGAAAGCGGAGGTGGCTGGGGGAGGGGCCCTGAGGATAACACAGGCGGGGGTCCTTGTAAAGGACTCCACACTCGATGGCAGGATTTTACCTTTCGCTACATGTCCAGGTGGGGAGATACTGCCAGATTTGCTTTTGTATTGGATATCTACATCAAAAGTATCTGGATTTCTATATCTATATCTTTGCTGTTTTTTATTTTTGTTTTTTGAGAGAGAGTCTTCTTATGTGGCCCAGGCTGGCCTCAAACGTGC